CTACGGTCCATAGATCTTGAATCCGTCATGACGTTCTTTGCATAAGCGCTCCCGGGAATAGTGCCGAAATGAAACCCGGTGTCCTGTTGCCTTGACTATGTTACTGGTTTTGAACGGGCTGGAACATGTTGAAGAAGGCAAACATCCCGTTGCCTTTGGGGGGGGTTGTGCTGCAGGAGGAGTTGGTGAAGAAGGGCCGGCTCCAACTGCAGCAGAACGACTTGGCCTTTCAGGCGGCGACTTTCGTGTCAGAAAGGCACCAGGCACTGTTCGTTGCAGGTCATGGCGCAGAGCATGACCAACTTTATAGAAAGCAACGGTCAGCTCAGCCATTGGCGGAAATGGTGGCCACTCTACAGCAGTGCCACGCTGGGTAGCTGGGACAGCATCGACACAGCAGATACACCAGCATTGCACCATCGTTGGTCATGTCCGCTTGTCGCGTGAATCGCTGATGCTCTACCCCATAATAACACGGCTGGCCATGCTCCACGCCGGATCAAGGTACATTGCTGCTCTCGTGGAGGATGCGCCTGTCGAACAGATCGGTGCGACTTGCGTTGGCAAAGCAAGCTGAAGACGTCGTCGTTCAGTGCCTCGGAGAGATCTCCGGAATACTCCTTGTTTGATCACATTCAAGGTTCGGGCTTGTGTGGGCTAGTGAGAGCGGCACACAGGCCGTAGCTTACAGTACAGCTTCTGGCGGGTGATTCTCCCTTATTCGAGGTTCCTTCGTGAATGGATCGTGTCCCCGATCGAGCAGCTGGTGGAGGCACCAGTTCTCCGACACTTGCCAAGTTGTTTCCTGAATGCCCAAAATGTGCCGCGCAGAGGGGGCGATTTTGCAGTGTCGACTAGGGCTACGTAGGGCATCAGATCCGCTTCGCCAGTTAGTGTGAGGCCCTTTTCTTGCGCAGACCCAAAGTGCTTTGGCTCGACATGTGAAAGAGTGAGCGGGAGCGTATGTGGGGAGAGCTGCATCAACCTGAGGATGATTTGCGCGTGCAACTTCGAGATCTCAGATCCGAAGAGGACCGGCGACGAGCAGCGATAGCTAGCAGCTAGCTGCCGCTTGTACCAAGTAGCTTGTGACTTTTGTACAGGAAACCTTGGATCGCATGGTCTCTGGCTTTGCAAAGTTCGCTCGGGCGGAGTCACAGTTCAATGCAGAAGCCACAGGCAAGGACGGTTTAAAGCCTGGATGGCCCGGCCCTCGGCTTTGGCTTTGATGCTCCGTGAGAGGCGCTGGAGACCAAGAGCTTCCAGAGCGTTACTTTGAGTGGTCCATGACGCCGCTGCCTAAGACTTAGGCACCTCAGGCTTTGTTTTGACTTGATAGGATGCCCATTCTGTCGAGTTCCAGTGCTGCGGCATCGCAAGGAAGCCCCTCAGCAACGTGATCACAGGACACTTGATGGAGCAGCTAGGCTTGGTGATGATGTGTGTTAGTTCTGTTAGTTATCGTGCTGACAGAAACTCCTTTGTCCCACATTCGACGCTCTCGTTGCTGTGCCTAGGTCTTGCATGGTGCAGAGCCAGAAATTGAAAGTATTGCTTTATGCCTCGTTATATTCGATCGATGCTGTTATGACGCAGCTCAAGTGGGATTTCTTAATGGTCCGGTTCCGAGCTGTGCTGACGATTCCGGAGCCTTGGAGATTGAGCTCTGTGAAATTTCTCAATCTCAGGCCGGGGTCATGCCCATGACGCTTCTGTGCGTGTCAGCATACTGGATCGTCTCTGGTTCCTGGCGGCGCCGCCAGCTAGTTTTCAGGCGCGATTTGCAAGATGTGCAAATGTGTGTTGGCCACTTTGAGCGACCGGTTTGTGGTTTTGCGGCCGTCAGGAAAAAGATGGTCCGGGCGCTTGCGGAGATGGACCGCTACCTGTTGCGTGGCTGCAAAATTTCCGTAAATTGTGCGAGTCAGGCCTTATTCAGGAGCAGATGTGCACTTCGGCCCACGTCGGTCAATCACGGCTTGTATTCAGGAATCGAAACACTCAGTCCTTGGCTCCTCGCCAAGTATCTTTTGGAATTGCCCAATTGCAAGGATTCTCAGCTGCACTGATCATTCGGATTGAATGTATGAAACAGCGCCAAGCATGCACTTGCATGAGGCAGAGGCCAAAGCGTGTCTGTGAAGACACTGCTTCTGCAGGCACCGACGGTCACCAAGCACTGTAAACGTCAGAAGATGTTTATCCATAGTTCTGCGTCCTGCTTCTTTGGACAGGCACTGGGTGGACAACCAGATGAGGCCGTTGATGCGCAAAGTCGCATCAAGCCGCCCACTCCCTCGTCATTGCACTGTCTTGACACTCAGCAGCAAGTTCTGAAAAAAAGCATCAAGCCAAAGACAACGATGGTTCGTTGGAGCTGTGGTACCTAAGGCAGGATTCGGCAGCGAAGCTGTGGATTTGGACAAGGTGCTGGGAAACGGTACGGTTCAGGGTCGGCCAGGTTGGCGCAAATACGTACTCTCTCCTCCACTCCCCACAGGCTAGAGCCGCAGTTTCAGCCCTGTGACCTTTTAGGGCATGTGGACTGTCCATTGTCTCCAGCTCCAGAACTCCAAACTCACTTTTCGCTCGAATCCTTCAAAGCCGGATGAGCTGTTTTTTTTTTTTCGCAGGTCGGAGCGGCCCTTTGCCACTGTGATACTTTGTGCCGACTAGCTTCAGTCTTCCGCCTGGAGGAGCAACCCAGTTCTGATCGGCTTCAGCGTCACTTCCAATCGTAAAATTTCTCGTGGGATATCGCTTTAACTTGTCCCCGGAGCCATCGGCCCAAGCCCTATGTTCAACAGAGAAACGTACGCTGCGCAGCGACATGCAATCAACTCGCAGCTATACTTCTCGATGCGAGTCTGCAGGGATGGTTCCAACCAGCATCTCTCGTCGAGGACTCTGATTGGCGGTCATTTCGCAGAGATATTCTGGACCTGTCGTCACCGGAGCTGCCGGTCAGCACAAATCACTGAAAGCCATAGCGCTCGTCTTCAGCTCAAAGTTTCTCACTAACTTTATGTCTATCTTTGTGTTGTCTTGTTTCGCACGCTGTTCAGCAGTCGAAGGTGCGAATTGCTTGCTAACAATATTCCCACTGGCCGCTCAGGTTGTCAGTTTCTGAGAAGCTCCACGTCGTTTCTACCATGAGACACACGTATCATGTCTTTGACCTGCGTTTATAGCCCAAAACATGAGCGTGGTGCATTGACTTGACTGCACATTGCAGCGATTGCTCAGTGCCCGGGCGTGTTTGGCTTCGGCAGAGGAGCCATCCTGCAATGATGCTTCAGCAGACATCCCCGATGCGCACCTTTCGATTCATGGTTCATGACCAAAGTAACTAGTCATGCAGCTGATGAGCCCAGACAGGCTGCGGACGCCGAGACACCAGTCGTATGACTTTTGCTCCGTAGCCTCGACTTGCCTCCGCCTATGCATGAGCCGGCACACGCTGCGGCTTTGGGAACCTGGGTGTCAAATTAGCACGACGAGTTTGGTTTCCGAGCTTTGCGAAATGACCTTGGCGACCACACAGTCCGCAGGCGGTTCTCGTGACCCTTTCAGAATCCAGCTGCATCCAGCGTCCAGACCCCGTGCTGCTGGACGAAAACCATGCTTCAGAGTGCGTAGCGGCTCTTTTACAGAAGCAGGCTGGCCGGGGGGTAAATACATTGGGTCGAGAAGACAGCAAAGATCAGCAAAGATGAATCAAAAATCTCGACAAAGGAACGCACCTCACAGTCCCTCGCCGCAACAATCGAACGCTCACTAAGCCCGAAAAACAGGTTTGTTTATTCAAGAGAGAAGGCGCCAAAGATCTTTCACAGCATGGGCGACATGGGAGCACAGTGGCAGGCTGAGAAGGTCGAGCACAAGACCACGACTGCTCCTCAATTCAAGGAAGATGCCGAATGGAGGTCGGGCCCAAGACATGTGCATGGGGTGTGGTGTCAGGTTTGAGCGCATCGCAGCTCTTGTGGCATGTCAGGGCTCGCCAGATGGTTCTGCAGAATGCCGAAGAAGAGGCTGTAGCGCAGTCGCTATCAAGGCCCCGCAGCAAGCCAGCATGAAATTGAAATGGTGTAGAGAGGGTTCGCGCAGAAGCCACTTGTTGCAACTTTGGTGATTGCTTGCTGCTTGCGATGCAGGTTCATGGGCTGGTTCTCAAACGTGAAGATTAGCTCGCCAATACAGCTGCCACTGATCCGGCAGTGGCAGCCGCGGCTGCAAGATGGACCGTTGTGCAGCCACTGTACTTTCACAGAACTTGTTGCGTTCGATCTCAGGCACGTCGTCTCGGAGCAACTCCTGGACCGCGGCCTGACCACGAGAGACTGCCGGCTGTTGCTCGACTGCCTTTGCAGTGCCTTTACCAGGATGCTTTTGTTTTTGTCACTTGTCCCCGTCGCAGGTAGCTGTAGTTGGCTTGATACTTGCTGTGCCGAGGATCTTCGTTTGCATCTTCGCTTGCCTGATTCTGACGTGCGCCATCGCCGGGCGTCGGTTTGCAGGCTGGAAAGCGCGATGTCTCATGAAGACCCAAGTCCTGAGGGCAGACCAGAACGAAGCAAAACCGCTTCCTTGTCGAAAGTACTTCATTGCAGAAATCTCGGAGCATCAGCAGCTTCTGAGCACCTGTGCCCAGGCACTGGAACATCTGGAACATGACGACAGGCGCTGCGTAGCTGTGAAAAGGCTCTTTTGCTTTGCAAGGCCCAGCTGAGCTGACGCTGTTGATGGTCACACGAGTCACTAGTGCGCAACATGTTCGCTTGACCAGAGAAACTTCTGCTGCCGCCGAGTGGAACTCGAATACTCAGTGGAGAGCCCCCACACCACTTCACACTCACTTCAGCCTGGCAGAAGGACTAAGTTATCACGGACGCATACGGTAGCAGGTAGCATCTGCTGCAGCCTTTTGCTCATGGCCCGGGGCCGAGCGACGCGCCCGCGCGCTCGGCCCCTTGCTTGACGCCGCCCTGGCGGCTCGGATGGAGGCCAAAGCCATGGCACCGGAGGCCTCTCCTGGCCGCTTTGCACGGGGGCTTCCCTTGTTGGGCTAGTTGCAGGTGCGGACGCCTTTCAACCCCAAGCAAGTCGCCTCCGGGGCTTGGCCTCGGACGCAGCTTCTGGAGCCAGGATCTGTGATGTCCACGCCGATTCCGATGCCAGGCCCTCCATTGGTGTGTGGAGAGCTAGGGCCAGTACTACACCACGACTACCCTATGAGACCGCTGCGCATCCGTACCGTGAATCATTCAGAGGACTGGTAGCCAGTGGCATTGTTCGCACAACCGCGGCTGGCGACAACGGCCATGTCTATGTTCGTGGAGGAAGGGGCAAGCCTCTGCAGCCTGAGAAATGTGTTTCGGGATGACGTCAGGCACGCAATACTATTCGCTGTCTCCAACCGCGCGTCCTCCCTCAAAGCACGGGGGAGTGCAGACCGGGTTGCTCGGCTTCTGATCTCCTCGGAAGCTTGCAGGGTCCTGCGCTTCAGATCTAGGCCTGGGCTAAGGTGCTCAAGTGGGATGGCAGCGAGCCTTCCTACCACCCCGTTGATCCTGCGCGAGGCTCTTTCCGCCATCTGCCCTGAGTGGCAACAGCAAAGAGTCACTTGAAGTCACGTGCTTGATTTTTGCTGTCGTGAGGGAAGGCCTGCGCCATTGGACTCGGTGGATAACACATCCACCGCCCTGGCGACACCCACGAGAGCATGGTAGCTCTGCTGAGACTTAGAGTCAAGCTTCGAATGCAGAGTGCACTCGCTGGTCAAAGCATGCCATTGGTGTTTGAACGGGCATTTCGCCACAAAAGCCTCCGGCAAGGTACTCGCCCTCGCGAATTGAGGACACATATGCCGGCTTGGACTGGGCCTGCAAAGCCACTTCGGGATGCTTGGAGGCAGTGTCAAAATCCAAATCCAAATCCCGGTGCGGTGATTTTGTGCCGGCACTCCGAGGATGCCGCCGGACACCGCCGCCGACACCACCTGCCGCGATGCGAAGGCCTGCGGCAGCTTGTGGTGCCACGGACCGGCGGACGTGGTTCTTGACTGTTGCGACTACATTGACTACATGTCACAGGATCCTCTCCCGGAGTGCCGCTGAAGAGGCAGCTTTCCTACACCCCTCAAGGCGGTGAGTTGCGAGCGCCAGTGACAGGGACCCGGACCTGCGGCTGAGCTGGCTCCTGGTAGCATCGTGTCGGCAATGATTGGACCGTGGGAAGATCTCATCCATTTCAGGTTGCATGCTGTTTCTGCAAAGTTGCTGTGGTTGGTGAACTCGCAGGCTGTCCACAGCCGCTACAGCAGCTGCCGCTTCGGGAGGCCCCACAAGTCTACCAGCCGCCTGTTTGCTGACAGACCCTGCAAAACTGAAATGTTTTTGCCAGGCACGACCTGCGCAGCCTGCGGGAGGACGAGACCAGCTGCTGGCAGGCTGGGGCGGATCCGGCTCAGATGTTCTATCCACAAAATTGGAAACACAGATTGAGACTGGGATCGCGGAAGTTGGAACGGCACAGACATCACACGATCGAGGGATTTCGGCGCTGCTCGTTCCCAGGTGTGTGGGCCTCAAAGCTGCAGGCAGCCAGGCACCCGGTGCTCAGCGCATTTTGTTTGGTCCCGGTTAATTACCAGCTAGCATTTGCCATTTAACCGTGCCGAGGCCGAAGAAGAAAAGCAGGTGCTCTTGAGAAAGCTCGAGGTGGCCGTGTCAGCAAGTAAGCAGGATGAAGCATGGAAGTTTGCACAGTTGTTTGTTAAACAATCTGCCCGGAGCATCCGATTCTTGACGGCATCGATGCTGGGCTCAAAACCATAGAACCTGCAGGCAGAGAACAGGCGCAACGTGGAGCTCGAGGGCGAGAGGAAGGCCCGATGTTTAGGAGCAACAGGGCCCACAGCTCCAAGCGTCGTCCTCCAAGCACTCTACTAAAATCACGACTAGAGTTGAAACTCATGACGAAAGGGGCTGAAAACCTCGCTCGACCGCATGGAGAAGCTGCTCGCCGCAGAGTCCTCGGAGCTCTGTAAGTGCAAGATTCGGTCCCTTGGCGGCGTGGCCTGAACCCGTAGCGCCTCACAGCTTCGGAACCGAGGACATGGCCGTTGCATCACTTCCTCCCCAGGTCTCAGACAGTGTCATTACTGCCTTTGGCGGGACCATCACAGCGCATATGCGCAGGAGGTGCGGGCTCTTTCCCCGCCGTCTCTCAAAGCGCGAGACGCTCAGCTTCGAAGCAACGGCATCCGACGACATCAGGATTTCGGATCTCTATTGGTGTCCTGCTGGGGGTCAGGTCTTTCACAATGGCCGCCAGCGAGGCAAGCGCGAGAAGTCGAGCAGGACTCGAGCACCATCCGAATTCCTGGTCTACTTCGAGTGCTTTCAGGAAGCAGAGACGCCCAGAGTCCGGCAAAGTCGCCGCGGCCAAGCATCCGCTTCGGATGGAGTCGAGGCCAGTCCCTCAGAGACAAAGAGCCCTGCTGTGGCCTTGTTCAAGAATGGCAGACGGACAGGCTTCTCAAGTTCGGCACGGGCAAGTCCAAGTCGGATCAGTCAGAGCTGGAACGAAGGCCGGCTTCAGCCAGCTTGGGGTCGGTTTCGTGGCTTCCTGAAGCAAGATTGCCCAAGAATTCCATAATTGGGGTTATAATGCGTTGTGTTTTGCTTGAGTAGCTTGCTGAAGCCGTGTCTAGTTTCAGGGTCAGCATTGGGCGACGACTCGATGTCTGGAAGCTGGGGAAGACGAGACTTTAGCAGCTTGGCGGACTGGCAACCTTGCGACGGTTTGGCTGTTTTGGCTTTATCGGCTTGGATTCAGAAGTTCTCGGGCTACCACATCATTCTTTTAGCAGTTTCTACTTTACTCCACCAAGAGAGCCAGCATGCCCGAGAAGGATTATCGCCGGAAGGCCCTTTTTGCTACTTGTAGCTCGGGCTGTGACCTTGTGCCGAGTCTCTTTGTCCACATGACAAACGGAGTCATTATTGCATCCTCTTCGAAAATTGAGGCTACTTCCCTTCCGCCAGCCCGCCTGCACCTCGGAATTCCTTGGTCCTCGGTGACCGTTGTGAAGTGGGAAGAGCAGGTAGGAGCTGAGCAGACATTCCATGGCAGGCGACGGGAGCCAAAGCTGCATGCCCTCGCGGGTGAAGCGGGTGAGGGCCCCGGCCGTCGGCAATGACTGTTCATGTTAAGTTGCTTCCTGCGCAGCAGCGGCTGTAAATGCACCCAAGGTCGCACCAAGTCTTCGGAGGTTCATTGGGTTGCCAGTTTTCCAGCTGATTTGCAAGCGCAGCTCGACTGGATCTGCGACATTCTTCAGGACATTTTACCTTGCTGCTGCGCGCAGGTCAATCGCGACAGCGATCGCTACAGCCTGGTGCGGATTTGTCAGAATTTGCCGTCGGCAACCTAGCTCGAACTGTCTTGAAAAGATACTGCTCCATTGAGAACGTTTTCTGTGAGAGGCACTTGCTAGAAGTGTTTGGCAGCTGGGAACGTGTCTGGCTGGAGGCCACAACTCAGCCGGCTGAGTGCCGCGGGTTCACCTCTTGCGTCATAAGTCCAAGCTCCAAAGCCGAGCTGGAGCTCGAAAGAGCCAAAGAATGACCAGTGGTCGACGAGTAGGAGGTTACTGCTGCTGCTGTAACGTCAACAGCTGATGTTCGGATCCCCTGCCAGAGTTGTTCAGATGCTTCAGTTCAGATTTCACAAATCTTTGCCAACACCAGGGCATCCGACGAGCAGTCCACGCATTGTCAATGAAGCCTCACTTTGTGTGCTCCGGCCGTTGCAGTCGTTGTGAAGGCGCTTTGTCAACAGCTGTTCGGCTGAAATCTCATGGCACACAGGATCTCACGCGCATTCAAACTCCAACGGAGGCGGAGCACAATGGTGCAATGTTGCTCTGTGGTTCTTGCCGCACAAGCAAAACACTTTGTTCTGGGAACGGCTGCAACAGAATGAACCACACTAAGCGAAGACTTGAAGTAGTTTCTGGCTATTTGCCTGATCTCTCTTAAGTCTTTGCTGGCACCCACCCCATCTTTGCAACGTTGTCGTATGCTCGAAGGCTTGCCTCAGGCATTTGCTTGGAAGTGGCGGCCAAGGGTCAACAGACATGCACAGTGGTTGCATACGTCCGTCGGCAGTCAACCTAGTGTTTGAGAGACTTTTCAGCATTCGTTTCCCTCTTGCCAAGTTGCAGCGATGGAAGCCTTTACTGTTTCTGGCTCCGGCGATCTTTGCGAGCCGGTGGACCTCCCTGCAGAACTGTGGTTCAGGCGCGTGCTGACTTCAGAGTTTCAGATTCAGTGCCCATGCTCGCTCCCAGCGGGTGCAGGCTTTGCGAGGCCGAGAAAGACTTGGCCTTTGCCGTGGAGCGCTGTGAAGCCATCCGCAGGCCCAAAGAGTGCATGCAACCCGGGATTGGGTTCTTAGCTGACCCTGAGACTTAGCTTTTGCCTTCACCTGCGCTTGACTTCACTCCGGAAAGCGCAGGGAGAAGGAGCGCGGCCGCCACATTCGCGCCAGGAAGACCGAGGAAGCCGAGGAGACTGGGGCCGACTGTCGGGTGTTTTACAGAGAACGATGCACGATTCACATCATCAAGGTAGCCAGCTTCAGCGTTGTTGGAGTCGCATCCACGTTCGTGGCGATTCCGAGGACGACCTATACTCGGCCAGCGGCAGTCTCAGTTTCTTCGTGCTCGGGTTCGGGTTTGAAATCCTGTCCAACGCATGCAGCATCTGGCTCGCGAGCGAGAGCAGCATGCATCGGGAACGGGTGCTCTTGCGGTGCGAAAACATGAGCGCGATGTTCCAAAATTGAAGTTTTGGGTCTCGTCAGGTTTGCACTTCGTCCATGTGCAGCGACATTTGGGAGTCTTCGTGGGGGAGCCCTCGGCAGAGGCGCTCCCACCTCCCCGGAGCCTGTCTCGGCTTGGGATGTACTGCCTAGACTCTCTTCTTGTTTGCCCCTTTGTAGCTCGTTTCAGGAGGCCCGCCGGGCACTGGCGCAGAGAGCGGCCGATGCCGCGGCGACGCTGCTGCAGCTGGGCCTGGATCCCAGACAAGTGCTGCGCAAGGGATGCAAGAGCGGCGCAGGGCTGAACAGGAAAGTGATTGTCCGTCTCAAGGTCAGTCAACTACACGTACTCAGCATCCGACATTTACTGCAGCATGCCAGTGATGTCGAAAACTCGATTGAAAGCCAATGCAGTATCAAAATTGCCTTGCAATTCGTCATAGTGCGGACCATGCGATGTGAAAGACGGTGCAACTCCAAAAGCACATAATGTGCAGCTGAATTCCAAGAACAGGTTACAGCCGACTGTCATTTTCTCCATCACACAAATACTGCATGTAACATGTTTGCTTCGAGGTTCATTCAAATCCACGGCAGCCAGGGCACAGATTGCAATCCGCAAGTGCTTAAGCTTTGCGCGAGGCAGCCGCGTCGGGCTGCCGTCAGATGTGTGGCGTCGTGTCATCCGGACGGCCCTTCCACTGCACAGCTTCGGCTTCGAAGAGGGTCCCAAGCTGCGCGTCTCGAGCCTTGGTTCGATTGAGCTGCTGAAACAGAACTGCGACATGGAGCAGCATCGCGAAAAGAATCAACTGCTGGAACTGTACCTTGCACCCACGGACCTGGATCAGTCCCTGTCACCTTCTGGTCGCGCCTCGCTCCCAGGATTCCTCAATTTGCTTCGGATTGCAATGCCGAAGCTAGCGCACGCACCTGAGTGCAGCCTGTGCACATGCAGCCATGCTGTCAATCCCATTGCGAAGAAAGTACACTTGCGATAAACGCTTTGAGCGGTGACACCTGATGAAATGCAAAACGTAAGGTCACGCGTCAAGAGTGTCACACCAAAGCACATACAAAAAGGACGCACGTGCCGCTGCATCCCATGCCTAAGACAGGCTCTGCAGGATGAGCACATAAACCACCGGCATCCACACGCAGAAGCGGTGCAAAACAGTGGGCTGAGTTAGGCAGAAATACTGAAATACCCAGTCTGCTTCTTGACGTAGATTCCGTGGTTACATCTTCCAGCGAATTCGATGGTGCTGAGCAGTTTAAATGGCTCAGAGCCGCATTTTGTGCATAAAACTGCATTTGAGCACGTTGGAGACCAATGCCTCAGCAAGTGCTCCGCAAATCCTTCATCGATTTCAGTTGACACATTGAGCTTCCCAGCTCGGCACTGGCTTTGGGAGTGGATCCTGGAAAGCGAGGCGCAAAGTACTTTGAGAAGTCTCGCCTGCACCCTCCGTTGTGACAAGCTGTGCCCAGGTTGACAGTGTGTGACCAACAGCTCTGATGCCTCTGCCATAAACAAACAAACCTTAGAAAAGGAGCTAAACATGATGAAAGACACCCTACTGATACTGCAGATTGCGTCAATGTCGAGCACGGGCTGCAGCATCAGACGGCATCCAAGTCGCCGATCGTTTCCCCCTTGTCGCGAATGACGTTAGCCCTCCATGGCCCCGAAGAAGGGCAAGCCGTCTGTCCCTGCAACCAAGCTGCAGATGGAGCTAGTGTTTGCGGCCTCGAATTGCGATTCAAACTGTCCAGCTGTGAAGGGTGCAGAACAGGCACATCATGGCACACAAGGCATCTCGTTCACCTACCCCGACAGCCGCTGGGTCTGGTGCGGCCGCGGTCAACGCGAAGACCAAAGGCGAAAGAGGGGAGCGGAATCGAACCTGCGACTCCCGAAGCCTCTGATACTCTGGAGGTGCGGCAAAAGCGAAGGGCAAGGCCAAGGCCAAAGCGACGGCAGCACCTTCGCCTGAGGAGAGCAGACGTCGTCGCGAGCCGTTTCCTCCGAGCTTCAAAGGGCTTTTCAAAAAGAAAGAAAGAGGCAGCAGACTGTATGGTCCCTGTATGGTCCGTCTGTGATTTCAGAGGAGGCAGCGGCGCTTCGCTTGCAAAGCCTGGCTCGGGGATTCCTGGCCCGCCGCGCGGCGCGGCGCCTGCACGAGGAGAGGCAGCTCCTCGGCCGAGCCCCCGCGGCCCGCGCGTTTTGCGTGTTCCTAGGAATCCGAAAAATTCTACAGTAAGATATAAAAAATCGTTTAAAGGGAAAGCTTTATATTCATTAGTACTAATGATAAGGTACAATAACAGTAGTAATACGGTATAGTGGTAATAATGAGGAGCCCCCCCCAAAATAGTATATGGGCAACGATTAAGGCCCGATTCACTATGCACCTGCGGCATCCTGCACGACGTTCCATCTGCTCATCTCGACCATTCGCGACCTGTCTTATCGTTTCTCGCGCTCTGTTCCCATCTTTACACGGGAATGGCGTAACATCGTAGTCGCACCATCGAACTTCGGCAGAACCATCAGCATCCTGATTACATCTTCTTACGATCTAATTGGACTTTCGACCTTGACGCGACTGCCCCATGCGAAAAAGAGTCCGAGCTCGGGTTGAGGCTAGTAGGGGGTCTCTGGTGAAGTTCGGCCCGAGGCGCCAGGATGCCGAGCTCGCTGCCGCGGTGCGCGCGGCGGAGCTCGCCGCGCTGCAGGCTGGGGCGACGAAGACCACGAATCGGGACTGGGACTCGCTTCAGTCTTTGCTTTTGCTCTTCCAGGTGGAGCGGCGCAAGGCCGAGGCAGAGAGGGCCAAGCAGGAGGAGAAGCGGAAGAAGGCACAAAAGCTGTTGGCTGAACCCTGGCGCCAGGAGGGAAGATCTTGCATGCCCAGTGCATGTCGGACGTGTTCTGGGTCAGTTCTGAGGACACGAAAGCTGCCTTGGAAGCAGCTTTTGACGGCGATGTCGATGTGCTCGCGAAGTTGCTCAACTCAGGCAATTGCACAAAGAGGGTGTGCCTAGTCCGCTCGCGACTCTTCGCCAGTATTTTGGATTTTCCGGGTTCGGGTTCAGGCAACGACCCAGTCCGACCAGCCCTGGGGCCTTGCAGATCTTGCATGTACCGAAGTGTTTCCGGTCCTGTCCTCAGGCCTCCCCGTTGACGCAGCCAATGCCGCCGGCATCACGGCCTTGAGCGAGGCCTCCGCGGCAGGCAAGGCAGAGACGGCGCAGCTGCTCCTGGACAGAAAGGCTGGATGCTGGTGTTAGCTGCAATGCCTATGGATCGGAACCATCTGTTCAATTGCGGTTGAGTTTCGCCCACGCAAAGGCCAACCCCAATACGCGGGGAGAGTTCAGCAGAACACCTCTTTGGAGAGCCGCATACAGTTTCTTTGAAGCATGGGCTGGCGCTTGGAGAAGCTGCCATGCCAGTTCCGAGCTCCCCTTTGATGACAGCTGACACGTGATTAAGGCAGGCAGAGCGATCTTGTTCCCTTGCTGCTCGAAGCCGGCGGTGATCCGAGGCTGAGCCAAAGCCTCAAGTCTTAACTGACCTTGCAGTGCATGAACTTCTCGTACAGCTACACCAAGGAGACGACGACGGGCAGACTCCTGCTGATGTTTGTGCCCAGGAGCGTGTCAAACAGCAGAGGAGAACCAGGATCGCGGTTTTTCGATCGTAGCAGGACGAGCTGTGCGAGCTCTTGGCTGCCTGGGCCACTTAGACACGAACAGAATCGTGCCACCCCAGCCAGTCGTCTATGAGATCTGTCCAAGGATGTATCTCGCACAGATGAGCTCGTGGAGGACGGCTCAGACGCAGAGGCATCACTTCAGCACAATCGCGAGCTTCATTCAGCTTTGGCAGGACTTTCAAGAATGGGCGGCCGAGCTCCAGCGCCAGGATCGTTCGGATGCCTTGTGCTTGGTCTTGGACATCCGGCAGTGCTGGTGGACCGTCTGCTCCTGGTGCTACCGATAGTGTGCTTGTTTGCCGGCAGAGGAGCAGCACCGGCAACGGGAGGCCATGAGATCCGTGGAGGAAGCCTTTGAGGTGACGCCGAACACGTTTTACTGTAACAGCTTCTAGCACCATCAGAAGCATCGTGGCGTGGAAGAAATGACAAGCAGATGAGGCTGCTGCCAAAGCCTACGAGGCTGCCCAGATGATTCTGGCCAAGGCCAAGGCGCAGATGCGGAATCGTGAAGCTTGGAGCATAAGGCAAGAGCCATTTTCTCACATCTACTCATGTTTGCTGCACCAGCCCAGACGGACTTCCCAGCTAAGGAAAAAGAGTATGGAATGAAGCTGGCTGCGGGCCACAAGGACCGAGAATTTAGGATCAGGGTGGTGAGTCGGATAAACTGATAGAACTATCGATAACGAATGCAAAAAGAGCCACAACATTCGTCATATCGCAAGGATGCCATGGAGGCCTGTGCTTCCGCGGACGCAGCCCTGCAGCGAGCAGAGGAGCGGACGCAAAGTGTTACTGTTGTTTGCAGACTCGTGGAGCTCCATTTCCAAAGGCCGATGCCGCGACCGCTCAGCATGACTTCGACCAGGCCTGGCAACTCCTTGAAGAGCAAGCAGCAAGCATAGCAAGCATAGCAAGCATAGCCAGCTGTGTTGGCGCTCCGAAATGCTCCGAAGGCCCAGCGCCAGCGCCTCGCGGCGGCAGAGGCAGCAGGCGCCGAGGTCGCCGCCGGCCCCGGGCGGTCGGTTCCAGCAACCCGGCAAAAGACAGGAGTGAAATGACTGTGAAACTGCACATGGCATGTTGAATTGTTGCATGCGATCATGATGTGAAACTTCGAAGGTGCCGGAGCTCAACAACGTTCTGCTGCGAGACCTTGGCGAGCGCATCGCCCAAGGTGGCCGATGGCCGCTGGTGCTCGACCCCGGGGACATTGCGCAGAAGCTCATCCAGCCGCAGCCTCAATTTCCTTCAGGTACCAGCATGCATGATGCACATGCGTGTCTCCTTCTTTCGCACCTGAGTTGATGAGGTATTCGGGATCATCACTCCTGAATTTCTTCCGCTCTGGTGACATGGAGCCAGAGCGCATCAGGGTCGCTCTCCTGACGATGCTCCGTGGTGGCTTCTTTGCTGCACTTGCTAGAGAGCTCCTGAGAGTTCGCTCCTGCGCTTGATTCGACAAATCCATTATATTGAAACACGATTATCTGGCACGGGATCGTCGTAGCTTGACTAGCAACTTCGGCGCGTCTTTGTCTTCCTGACTTCGCCTGGCGTCCTTGTGCTAGTGTGTACAGCAGAGTTGCTTTGCGCTCGCAGGTGGCGTTCTTGCCGTGGATCTGCACAACTTCGGAGCGGGAGTGGCACTAGATCTACTCTCCCAGCCCTTCGAGAACGTGCGGGAGAATCTCTTCCAAGACATTTGCAGCCGGGCACTGCTGCAAGTCCCCAAAGGCAAGCGCATGCCAAACTTCTACGATCTGGTCACGAAGGCCCGCAAAGAAACCTGCCAGGAACTGGGAATGCAGCTTGAGCATGCTACTTGTAGGAGGAGCGACAGGAACGCTTCAAAGCCCAAATGTTCGACGACAAGATGATTGCCCCCCGCTTGCACATGCCTGCCTACACTATCTCAGTCCTTATCAAACGATACTTGTTCAGCTCAGGCAAGGTTCAAGTTCATGGTCCTCACGTCGACAGAGCTGCCGCACAAAGACTTGCTGGAGCACTTTGACGTGATCCGCGTCGTGCATGCTTCTGCGTAAAGCGGATCTTGCAGACCATGTCGCATCGAATCCTTCAAGCGGAAGAGCATGCCGTGGCGGGGCAAATGCTCTCGTGAAAACTCCGCGAGAGCAGGTCCTGAAGCCGCCATGGATTCCGCTCAAAAAAACGTCAAATCTGGGCCGAAACATGGTCCGGGCCAATTCCCACACCGAAACAACTTTGCTTTAGCGCTTTTTGTCATGCTGTGGCAGATCATGGCATGGTCCCGAAGACTCAGCTCTTGCCTTCGACGACCACCTTTCTTGCTCAAGACGTGGCAGCGAAGATGAAGGAAATGGCATCCACCGCCAGGATCTTAGCGGCCTGGGGAATGCCAAAAGAAAGAATTTGCAGCCTGTGAACCAAAGATGAATCACAGTCGATGTCGGCGGGGTGTTTCTAGGATGCCTCCTTCAGTCGGGCGGCTAAGGAGCCGGGAAACTCTGCCGGTGCTGCAGAGGTCTGGAGCCCAACCCCACGCCACATATGATCATGACATGACAGCCGTTGACGAGGCATCGCAGCCGGCTTCGCCTGTGGATGAGGTCGTCGTTTCTTGCGGTTCTTCACCGAAAGCCCCCTCGCATATCCCACTCTTTGGCCGGTTCTTCAGTGCGTGGCATTTCAAGCAGGCGATACCACTAAACTAGGCAGGTGTGCACCCCCCATTTTCCTAGCATTGCTTCCAGTAGTGGCCCACTTGTGTCAGGCCGTCGCCAACACAGATGCCAACCGCAGCCCATGTGGGCAACTGAGTGTCGCCGTGGTCAGAGCTTCTGCCAGAGGAAAATGGACTGCAGGTTCCAACGCAAGACTGGAGCCTCGAGCCCAGAAAGTCCACCCAGTCTCCCGATCTCTCCGCAGTGCCGCCACCGGCAGCTACGCGCCCTGCAGCTCTCTGAGGCAGGAAGCTTCGATCTCCAAGTCTCCCGCCGCGGCCGAGGCCCAGGCCGGGGCTGGGACTTTCTCTCGGAGTCTTGCGCTTCTCGATTTGGGTGCAGGAACTGCCAGATGCAGAATCTGCGTCTGCAGAGCCGGAGGCAGGGAAGCAGTCATCTGTTGAGAAGGTCTTCGTAGCAAGAGCTTGGCTCTTCCCTTCGAACGGCTTGAAGTGGGCTATTTCGGATATTTGGATCTCGCTTGCAGAATGCTATCAGGATGCCATTGCCGCTGCAGCCACGCGCCCAGTTGTCCTTGAAGGCGTGCAGGCAAATGATGCTTTGTCCCACCTGACATTGGCGGCCCAAAAGCACACCCACCGACACTCGCGGCTCCCTGCCTTGCCACAAGACTTCAACGATGGAAGCGAACCGAATCCATGTTTGATTCCCCCTCGCGGGACAGAAGCATCGAAAAAAGTTCCTGCAAACACATGCTAGACCGTGCGGTCACTCGATCTTAGGCTGTCAGTGGATGAAGCCTCACTGTTCCACTCTGCCCATGTAGTACAGACTTCGCAGTGAGGCAGCTCCGCTTCGAAGGCCTCGCCGTGGGCCGTCGTCTCAGAGGGACTGCGCTGCGCGAATGGACTCCGAGATGCTGCTGGGGCCGGGGCTTTTCCTGTTCTGCTCCGTGTCTTGACAAGGCCCTCGGCGAAGCTCGCAATTATTCTCATAAGCGCCGTGCTCACTCTTCATGCTGTGTCGGTTTAGTTGATATGTTCGCATTGTGTCAGTGCCTGTGGAGTCGAGGTGTTGTCTTGCTTGCCATTGCGGCTGAGCCCTCCCCTCAGACTCAGTCCTTCTTGAGGCTTGGGCCCTAATCCGGCGCAGAGGCTTTGGATCATGAGTATGCCACAAGTACCGCTCCTGATTGACAAGCTCTACTTTGCTCTTTGGCTGCAGTATTTAGACGCATTTGCCCTCCCAGATGGCCCAGTCGAGGGGGCAGTGAAGCCCAGGCGGTGGCTTTGGCATTTCAGCTGATGATGGTGCAAGGGCCTTATTCTGCTCCTGTGCAGCAGAGGGTGTGAAGCACACAACTCGAGCAGAAAGCCTCCAAGGCTAGCATCTCTTCCACTGCCAGAGCAAGGTCTCTGTTGCATCAAAGGAGCTACTCGTAATCATCTTCAATCCTTCAATCCTCGATGCTTGCAGACTTTGCTCAGCGTCAAGTCTCGATGCAGCTGACTGATCGAAGGAAGCGCTGAAAGCAGACAGGGCATGTAGGCCGTGTACAGAACCCTCTCCTCATAAACAACCGCTTTCCTCTAAGTGCACACATCGACGCTCTCGAAGCCGATGCACATGGAGGGTTCCAACGGGGCCGCAACAAACCACTCCGTGTTGACAGACAGTACCCGGAGAAAGAGACGCCTTGTTCACTTTTCACTTTCGCCCACGCCGGGACTCGGTGCAAACTATGGCGCCTGCCGGCGAAGCAGGGGCTTCTTCAGGCCACTCGTAGAGAGGATGATTTTTGGGATGATGTCGCTTCAGAGCTGTGCTGTTGCAAAGCAGGTAAGGCTAGCAAGGCTTGGCCAATGCACTTAGAGCGCTAGGCCTGCCGCAAGTTCACATCGGCTTTGTGCGACGAAGGCTCGGTTGCTTGATTTCCTTGGAGTATTCGAATTCGAGGCCCAGTTTCATCCTGATCGTAAGGATCAGACCACACGGCTACATCCAATTATTTATCATTGCCACGAACGGCTGACTTCAGTTCAACTTCTCCTGAGGCCGATGCATCCCGAACGCTTCTTTGCGTTGGTGCGACGGCGCTTTGGGCCTTTGGATCCTGGGCAAAAATTGTCCTACGTTCCGACATCTGAAAGCCTCCGTTTGTTTCTCAATGTCATGGTCATGTCCGGTCTCCTGGGGTCTTTGAGAATTGGTAGCATGTTCGTGCATGCCAGGACTCTGATCTTTCATGCAACTATGGCTCGGGGCCAAAGCCGCTAGGCACAGCCAAATGGAGTACAGCGTTAGGATGTGTGCTCAGTCTTGCAATTTTCCTGACTTCTGGGGCTGCTGCTACCACGTGAGCAAACACCAAAGTGCATTTTGCAGGAGAAGTTCGCGTCCTTTCTGGCAGTGGTTGCTTGTGGTTTATTGGCAGCGACGACATGCGCGGTGAGTGGCTTTTCAGCTCGTCAGCTGGTAGGGGCCCCTTGAAACCCATCTCGTCGGGGCTGTCGGGGAACCGGAGAGTCGCTTGCAGGTCGGCACCTGCTTCGCTGTGGGGAGCCTTGGCCAGCGGAAGCAGGCGACCCTCTGAGTAGATAAAGACAGCAGTTGTTCATTCTTGCGAGAATCTCCCAGGGATCACGGAAACGGAGGCAGGGTCTCGGCGAGTGGACTTGTCGCTGGAGGTGCCTGCTGGAGCGAGTCCGCACTCCTGCGTTTTGATGGCACCTCTTATACGGCAGGTGAGTGGCGCCTCAGCCGATGTTGATGCTTGGAAGGCTGCAGCATCTTAGGACTCCACGAGATGGTCCTTAAAGCCTTGGTGCCGTCAAAAAGGCGTCCTTCTTTTCCGAGCTCAATGACTGCTTGATCACCCGGGCAGAGGCGATCCGAGTCGAAATACAAAGCTTTCAGAGACTTTTTGCTGGCGCAGGCCGTTGCCCTCGAAGAGGGCGACACGAGCATGCTCAGCCCCCAGTGCGAGTGGGAGGACCCTCAGGGTCTCAGGGCCTCCTCGGCCGCTGCTGCTACAGAGCTGCCATTCATGCGGAAGATGCGGAAGCAAACAAAGCACGTTGCCAGGAGATGCGAGCAGTGCAGGCCACCCGGATGAGTTTTCAGTCAAGGAAACTTTTGAAATCCCGTCGAGCTGGAAGTCATCCTGGATACGGTTGTTTTGTCTAGATGTTCGATGTTCGTTCAAGGAGAATTTGTCTCCATGGGTCGTGCACTGGTGGCCGCTTCTGCGCCTGCTGCATGGCATCACCACCATGGTGACAGCAATTCCAGGCACGTTCCTGCCACCGGGGCCCAGTTTAGGTAGCCACTCCACATGCGTGGGAGGCTTCGGCCTACTCCAAACGGTTGGGAGATCCCTGGCCACTCGAGTGCGCACAGGTCCTGAACTTGGCGACCCTACAAAATTTATTTGATTTCGCAATGATGCGAAGCTCAGGTGCGTGGGCGCGAATATTCTGATTCAGAGTGCGACTGCACTTCTCGCCGAGGTTTTAAGATCAAAGTCGATAGAGGGGGCAATTAATGGCAGCTTCAAACTGACGGGCGATTCGTCAGTGAATGCTGGCATCCACGCAGAACTGCGAGGATGTGAAGCTCTGTGCCGGGTGCGACCCACTCAGGCATACTGGGAAAACGAAAACAGGAGCTACTCTGTTCTGCTGTCAGTATGCCTGTTGCGAGCTGTTCGCAGATTGGGAGCATCTTCAGAGGAGGTAAAGATAACATGAGGTCATTGGATGTCGCTTCTGAAAAGCAGGAGAGACGCTCAGACGAATTCGAAGCCAGCTGCTAGACGTGGCTCACTGGGCATTTGTCGCACGCAACTCAGGCCTGAAATCATAGACAATGGCAGCAGAAATTCTTATCGATTCGTCGCAGTTCGGGATGCTTTGCCTAGGTGATGTCCTTCGGCCACGTCCCCAGCAGCACTCTCGTCATAAGAAGAGGCAGAGACTTCCATGAGGTGGTGCCATCGTACTGCGAGCCCCAGAGTCTTTGGCTTTCACTGCAGCGATTGCGGCTGCGTCCTGTCCTCAGCATCTCGAGTCCTGGAATTCGGCTGAAGTGCTCACAGCTATCATGACAACCCCAAGGGCGCTTGCATTTCGGCTTTCCATGAGGACTGAAGAAGCATGCGACATGAGCTCGTGCATTGCATGATATTGCATGGATCAATGGGTTTTGCAGTCACACCTTTCGGCACCAACGTGCACAGGTACCGATCATGCGCCACAGTTTTTCAATGACGTTGCGTGGTACGCTTGCGATGCGATCTGGCGAGAAACCACGCTTGAGTGAAAGCAGGTTGGTTTGCCAACAGCAAAGTTTTCATTTTTGTGCCCCGCAGACTCGACACCGTTGTCCAACAAGGGTTGATAGAGCAGGCAGAAGCCTGTCACGATGTAGCCGGAACCGGCCACGTGGAAGCCAAAATTCATCCAGAAGACTCGGAAGCTTACACCAATGATCAGTGTTGGGATTGTCAATTGAACGCCGCGGGGAGAGGCAGACAGCACAGAAACTGCTACATACTTAGGGTCGCCTCTACACGGCCGTGACCCCCGGTAGTCAACGATCAAAGTTTCTGCATGCTGCTGCATGCTATTTGTTATCAGCTAGGGCCTTGATCCACACCACAGCCGAAGGAGACTCTGCAGGAGATTTGCCACCACCAACCTTAAACCATGCGACCTTGAATACCCAACTCCCCTGCCACAGGAACCGATGCATCATCACATCTGTGGCACGAGGGAGCTCATTGCTTCAAACTCAGCAGACTCAGCTGATTCGAGATGTCCGAGAGAGAGCGCGACAGGACACGAGACACAGCACACAGACACATGGAAGCGAGAGGGAGTCAGTGAGTGAATGAGTTTGTATGACTCTGTATCATATCTAGAAATCATCATCTTTTGCCTTTGTGTGCTCAGGCCCAGAATATCTGGGAAGACAGTCACAAACTTCTTCCTGACCCTTTTGGTTGTGACTGCCCAGCCCACAGTGAGCTGTGCGATGCGACATGTGTGCGTTGGGAGAATCAGTCTTGTGGACGTACCACAATTGTAGATGAGGCGGTCGACAGTAGTGTCGTGTAATAAGTTCACCAATGACCAATGATCACCGATGCAGGGAATCCCAGCTTCGGTTTGGGGCGATTCAACACCTGACAGACCGAAATGCAGCACGGTCGGATTTTCAGCAAGCACTACTTGTATTGGCCAGAGTATCGTGCCCTCGGTCAAACTTGCTTCAATGCTGGACAGGGCAGGCTTGAGGCGGCTCACATTCGAGTTTTCTTGTGCTCTACGGTTCAAGCATTACGGGTTTGGTCTACGTTTGAAGGGATCGGACCGGAGCATCAAATCTGCGTCTTGAACTACTGTCCAACGAGTTGTGAGAAGCTGCTAATGCAGGTAGTGGCGGCCTTTGCAGAAGCTGTTGCAGATTGATGCTGCATGCTGTGATCCAGGTCATCCGGCTCCTGCTGCAGCTAATTTTTGGTCGCGGCTTCCCTTGGGCTGCTCAGCTGAAGAAAGGATCAGAAAGGAAGGGTGTCTGCATTTAGAGAGCTTAGCTTCTCGAGGATCAGGCCATCGCTGCAATTTCAGGACACCCATCGGCGTTGGCCTTGGCAGGAATCCGTTTCGGCTTCATAGGTGTCGATTCTGGGTTCCCACTTTGTTCGGCTGCCGTCCTTGCCGGGAAGATCGGCGGTACAAGAGTTGCATACATAGTCGTCTATGGGTGGCGAGTGGAGAGGCCAGTATCTTTTTCTGACATGGCTGAGGCCCAAGCAGTTCCACACCAGGAACATACTGAGTTGCACCTTCATGTTTGATGAAGGTGCTTCGCAAGGAGCGACGTTTTCCCGTTGGAGCGCCCCTGATTTTCCGAAGACTGAGCTTCCAAGGGCGGCACGAGGCCCCATTTACAGCTCATACGTCGCAAACACGCACTTGAAAATCTCAGACGGTGCTAGACAGCTTCGGGAAAGCAGCCGGCATGGGCGGTCAGTTTCACCAGATGTTTTGAGAAGCACGTGATGCTGAGCTAATGTCATGCCCACTTGTCCGAGTACGATGAACAGGGTATGCTCGACGGCGGGTCCCAAAAGACAAAGCTCGTGACGCCGAGGGCAGATGCCGGAGAAATCCGGAAAGCAGTCAGCTGGCGTTGCCTCAGCGAGCTGTGTGACTCACGCCGCTGGGTAGCAGTTGCCATCTCAGCAAAAGGTACTTAGGGAGGCCTCATGGCGTTGAGCTTGGCGATACCAGTGCAAAGCACTGTACAAGCTCCCAGAGGGCTTCGACGTGAAGGCATCACTTGTGCTCACTGCCCGAAACCGTCCGGAGTCCGGAGTTGGTTCTCGAGGCGGGACACCTCTCCCCACCACGACCACGCTTCCATGGCGAACTGTGGACATATTTTGTGGCTGCGCAGCAGGCATCGCAACGCGCCTGTGTTACTTGTAGGAAGATTCTAAAGTCGCTAGAAGCACGGCCGGTTCACAGCTCTTGATGCACCGATGGTGATGTTCGCTGCTGTGTCAGGCGTTTTGAGCGCCGTCGCCGTCGCGGCGCGACCGGCCCATAGCGGCTGCCGGACACGGGCGCTAGCATTGCGCGAGGGTGACGTCGGAGAGCGTGGAGCAGAGGCCGGGGCCGCCCCCCCCACAGCCCACAGTCCGCCCCCTTCAGCTGTGGCCTGGTGGGCTTCAGGAGTTTTTTCCCAAGACCGAGTTCCAAGAGTCTGCCACAAGCGCAAAGATTCCTTGCGAACCAGCGATAAGAATAGGCCGGACCGTGAGAGTCATGCGTTTCGGCAGCAAGTTTTGACAAATGCATTGCTGGAGGCCATGGGTATGACATCCACAGGATGCTGCCTCGGGATGAGCTCGAGGGCTGGGGCAAGTGCTCGCCACAGCCGGCCGTCATCGGCGGGGTTACATTTGAGGACTGGCCGATGTCATCAACACGGCAAGCTGTACTACTCGGAACAGACATCGAGCCATGATCCAGGAATTTCCGTTGGGGGTGGTCGCCCACTCGGACGGCGATGTGGTATACCACTCGACGATTGATGCCATATTAGGCAGCTTGGTGTTACTGTCCGTGCAAACATTAAGCATGATGATCTTGGGAATAGGCTTTCGTTTCGGGCTTCACGGAAAACGCCTTACATTGTGAATCACTGCCGCGCTGGTGATTCGATGTTAGTAATGCAGCATTCTAAAATCAGTGCAGGTGCCCTTGGTCTACCGGACATTGGGCAGCTGTTTCCGGACAACGACCCGTCACGACCCCGTTTGACTCGGTACAGTAAGCCTGGCCGATAGGAACCCAAAGAAGAAGCCGGAACGGAAGAAGTGCCTCCTAGGCGCTGGCGGGGCGCCAACTCCGAGCAGTTCTTTGACGAGGTCATAGCCGCACTGGAAGAAACAGCGCACTATCACTATTATCTCCGAACCTTCAGAGAGTCTCTCAGAGCGTGCACGCCCTCCGGGTAGATCGGCTTGAACAGAAGATTTCGAGAGGCAGTTCGGCTGATGGGCCTGCGTGGAGTCTCAACTGCATATCGCTTGCACAAGCTGTGCTTCTGCATTGAACAGACAGCCTGAAGAACAACAGCTTAGAAACCCTGATTCTTTGGATATACATGTCTCTGACGCATCTGAGGATATCGAATTGGCAATGTGGAGCCGTTGTCGGCATTTGCGGTGGCCGTGAAATTCGCACAGAAGTCCGGAAGAAACCAGTCAGCGCTGTTGTTAACTGAGGATGTGACGATCATCGCAGAGAAGCCTCGCCTGGCTGCACGAAAGGCAGACGCACGGTGATGAACGGCTGACACGAGAGCTCGGAGATGGAATCGTCATAATGCAGCTTTTCGGGTCGTCGCGTATGACTCTTTTCCCGCCTTGGATCAGCCCAGGACATGAAAGACAACCTGGTCCGCATTTGCGATACGATCCCGGCAAGAGTCAACCTCAAGGCCTACACGCAAGAACTCGGGATGAAAACTTGCACTTAGCTTGTCTCACTGCAGGCGAGAACGCACGAGAAGATGGACTCTGTCGGGGAGTGCCGTGCACTCGAATGCCATGCGTGTGTGCTCCTGGAAAAGGCCTGAGAGGAGGCCTGCATCGTACAAAGTATGCAAGCCCATCGTGCTAGTGATGAGTGAAGCCGGTGAATGCAGGTCGATGTTGACGCTGTCGGCGGACCGCTGGTAGTGAGGCATGCGTTTTTCCCGGCTTGAGAGCGCAAAAAAAGCTTGCTGCTGGAGTGGAAGAGAGGGTCAAACAAGATGTCAGCGTTTCTGAAGCAAGCTTGGTTGCCACGAATAGAAAAAGCTGATGTCAAGTACAGCTGATGCCGCGTGGTCCACGAGCCATGGCTAAGCCGCTGTGGCAATGTCGAATGCTGTGCAGTTTTTGACCGTGGACCGAGATGGACGGCAGCCTTACATCAAGCCTAAGGCTAGAGGCTAGATCAGCTTTACAAGGAATGACAAAGCGGTGCCATGGCGCTTTGTTGGTCATTGGAGCATGCTGTGTCTTCGACTATGCAGGCTGTGCAAGTGGTGTTTTGTGATCACTTGCGGCATGAGTCTGCTGTAGCTTGTCGTGTCTTCGCGCAGTTTGCTTCTCCGTGGGCTGCGTGGAGACGGTGTGGCACTTAATTGCTGCTTGTGGGGCGATTCCCGCCGGGATTGCGAAAAGACTAGGTGTAGTTGGCAACAACAGGTTCATGAAGTTAAGCATGTCAGCCTGGCCTAAGATTGCAATGTAGCAATGCACACTTCCCAGCGCCCAGAGCAAGCCCAATGCCACTCGCCGAGTTCACACGGAAGCCCTTAGCTTCCGTTCCATCCCGTGGCGGAGTGCCAGGTTGCGGAGCTTTGGACTTGTCCGGAAAGAAGCAGTCATTAGTTATTAAGTTATTTTTATTTATTGTTATGGACAATATTTGAAAGAGGCTGGCGGCCAACGCAGAGGAAGGCTGTGTCAGATTTCAGCGCCCAGGCTGCCACGCTGCTTGGGGCTTAGTTCTGCGCTCACGTGAAGCTCTGATAGTTCTGAGAGAAACGGTTTTTGAGGTTTGGCAACATGCGAGCTCCTGCTGCTCTCCTGGCTGGAGCCGTCGTCCCAATTGGTTTCATGGCATCTCCCAAGATCGTCCCAGAGGACCCCAGATGGCTTGTCGCTTGTCTCAGACTTTCTGCGGTGTCAAGAGTGCTTGTCCATCGAATGAAGACATGTGAGCTGGCTAAGAAGCGGGTGAAGAGAATGCATTATGTTATTGCTTCGGTGGCGATTTGCTGCTTCTTGGACTCCATTTTATGAGAGATTCTTGTGTCCAGACGACGGCTTCGAAAAGGTGCACCTATGCAGGCGACGGTTTAGTTTGTCGGAGACCCGAACATAGCAGCTCAGCTGCAGCTAAGGCCACTTGACAACCGTGGTTTGGTCAACCATCACCGTGAACAAGATTAACGAGTCTTGGACGGCAGCTTTTTTTCAGGAGCGAGTTTTCACATGCTCTCGGAGGGGAAGTCCATCTATCATGCATTTCCAGGAAAGATCCCCACCGCCTGCGGGAAGCTTGATGCAGCTCCTGAAGCAATACTACGAATTACCGTGGATAGGCCAGGACACGACAGACCACGACGTTATCACGATGTTAGAAACAGGTTGCAATGTGAACTTCATCATGGGCCTTCTGGCCTTTGCATGCCTACTCGTGACCTTCTCACTCGAGCCTCGGCTGCATGTGTGTGCAGGCATGCTCCAACAGGAAGATTGTAAAGTTGAGGCGTCAGTTTCCTCAGCTTCCTACAACCTCGTGCCTTGGCTTGCAGTCTTGCGTGACCGTGCTTGGTGCATCATGCATGATTGCAGGTATGCCGGCCCGTGGCATGCACCGTCGCTGCAGCCATTTGAGCGGTGCTCGGTTTCTGCGTCCCGAAGCAAACATGTCACTCTGCGGTTTCCCACTACCGCTTTAAGGCCTGATGATTTCGATCGTGAACGACGGAGTGTCACAAGGGGATGGGACAGCAGGCCGACGAGAGACGTTGATCGCATTGACGACAGCTACAATGTGGAATGTCATTGCAGGTTTCACAAACTTCGATTGACAAGCTGTTGTTCATGCGGTTGGGGATGCATGTAACGTCAGGCGGTCTGCGTTTCGGCTCCAACATGCTGATGCTCTTCTTGCGGTACATTTCGCTGCTGGCAGCACATGCCTTGCCCCTTGCCTCAGTCTACAGGTAGTCCTCTGTGGAATCGCAGCGTTGAGGATAAGCTTTGTACGTGTGCTTTGTGGCAGAGCCCTGAGAGCCCGGCTAAGGAAGGGCCCTCGGCCGCTGCTGCTGTTAACGTTCGTTTTCGCAGGCACGGACGTGCACCGTTTTCCGCTCGTGATAAAATCGCCCTGCCCACAGGAGCAGCCATCTACTTCGTGATGAAAATTCAGACTGCCAAAGATGCTGTGACCGCCGCAAAGTGAGGTGTTACAGTTTATCACAGTTTACAGTTGTTTTAAGCAGTGGACAGGTTCAAAGTTCGCCTGACCTGGGTTTCCAGCCGCAAGACTTCATCAGGAAGAAAAGGGGGGGTCATCAAGAGAAGGACAGCTTCACATTTTAATGTGTTTGGTACGCACGACAGACCGCCGTGCTTCTTCCAGAAGGCCCAGATGCGACACGCATGGCCCGCATTCCGCCGGGGAGGGTCAGTCGGAAGCGCACCTTGCAGAGTACCGGACATGCATTAACTGGCATTACCGTTACGTAAGTCAGTTGGTTTTGAATTTTTGCTTGCAGCCATGGCAGAGAAGAAGAAGCGAGCGCCGACTCTGATGCCAGGCGATGGCAGGCAGCACGGGAGAGACCGTGCAGTGCCCTTGTCCGACATACTGTCGGTGCTGGCAGGAAACGAGATTGGTCAGCCATCCTTTCGCACATTGAACTGGAGTGGGTCACGGAGCAGAGCGCCAGGTCCTGAGAGACCCGCTCATGCGGCCAGCTTATGATGGATCCCTTAGATACACGGTTGGTTTGTCGAACTTTTTTTGGACGCGGCTTCAAAGGACTGCGACCGAAGCGCCAACAAGGATGGAGACACCTTGGCCTTCAAGCACAAAGGCTTGTGGTTTCGTCATGCATGGTGGCAGCATACCATGGCATACCATTCACCTCCTGCAGTCCAAATGCTCCGTCTCGCAGGATTCATAGCAGAGCTTCCCGAAGGCAAGACTCGTGATGCACAAGGGCGCACGATTCAGGCCACACTTTCGGTGCTGGGGGGCTACTGCGTCGTGTAAGGCTGCAAGTCTCCCAACGTTCATTCAGTTTGAGAAACAAGGTGTACATTGAGAGATGTATCAGGCTTGTCGGCAGGCACGTTTTGTTTAGGTGTCCCGTGCAATGCTCGCCGACCACCCCTGTGGGCCGTGTACAATGAAACCTGCTCCCACTGCATAGCGTGTACTCGTTCATTTTGACTGTGCTGAATTGGGAAAAGCCTATCAACTGTCACCTTCGCTTGCGGCAGGTAGGCATGCAGATGGATTCCAATATTGACCCCGAAAGCAAGGTGCGCAGTTGGTCCTTAGAGAGTTTAGAGAGCAACTTATTGTGAGACAGTCCTAGTTTGAACTGCGGTGCTGGCACCCAGCAGCAGGAGGACAAGCCGCTAGAGTTCATGCTGGGCACCCCGAAGCTGATCGTCGGAATGGAAGCCGTGCTACGCACGATGTGTGAGAGCGACTCTTGACTGCTGTCACTCACTTTGAGCCTTTGACGTTTGCATGTAATGCTTGATGACTCTTGGTGCACAGGAGAAAGTCCGGGCCAGAATCCCGGGACCCCTTGCTTACAATTTTCGTTCGGGCTTCCTGCCGTACGACACGGCGGTCTTGTACGAGATGGAGGTGACGCGAGTGACGCGAGGCTCTGGTGAAAAGCGCTCCGAGGGCAGCCTGCATCCACGGATCCCCGGCAGGCAATGGGCTACCTCCACCGGAGTCTGCAGCACCTGAGCCCACTGGCAACTTGCCAACAGTCGTTTGATGAGACCGCTGTGCTTGTCTAGTGCATCAGACTCTCAGAGTTTATGGCGCATTAGGCACGAGTGCATCCAGCTGGCCACTGCTGTTGGCCTTGCTGTTGCTCCTGGCCCTGGTGTTTGGAGGCCTTTGCAGGCGTTCCAGGGTGACCCCAAGCCACGACGATGCAACTGAGAGGCATCGCCTTCGTTCTGAAGGGCTCTGGAAGTGCGAAAGCCCCGAAGAAGAAGGACTTTGGCAGAACATGTAACAGTCATATGCTTACAAAGTGAGCGTGCGCACAGGAAGCGAAAAAGGAGGGCAAGAAGAAACGATGATGTGATTTCCACAGCAGGCTCGTGCAATCCGATCCTGTGCGCAGTCATCGACCCTGCATGTTGGGTGTCAGTTAGGCCGGCAGCGTGCGGATTAGCGACTGCCCTGCTGCTTCCCACAAGTGGAAGAAGCACAACTCTGAAAGATCTGATGTACTCGCTTCAGAAGAGAAGGCTTAGCTGCATCTGGCCGCCAACTGTTTGTGATTCCATGGCATGTGTCACATATGCACACCCGGAAGCCGTCTCAAAGAATCCAGAAGTTACAAGCATCTTGACCAAGCCACTTTCAGCAGGATATCGGGTTTCCACTAGCATCCCAGCATCCGACGCAGGAGCAGGAATGCACTTGCTTGCACGCCATGGCCAGCGTCCGAAGACGGCACACGCTGAAGTACACTTGCTTAGGACTTCTCGTCATGACTCATGGTATGAAGAAAGGATGCCTTGCATGCTGCTCAACTCTGGGCTCACAAGAATGCGGCCTGGCTATGCCAAGGATGGCACAGCGACGCTGTGGGGATGTTGGATTCGTCACATCGGCTTCTCATGTCACACTCCGCCGCAGGGCAACTTGTCCTTTCGTGGTTTTTGTGAGCCTTGAGTCTTTTTGTGCGTGCACAGCACAGCAACAAGCAGAGCATGCAGAGCTCGCTGCGCTACCTGAGTTGGAAGTTTGTGGCGCCCGCGGAGTCCGTGGAGAGCAGAGCCGCTGCAGCCGCTGCAGCCGCGGGCTCTGCCTGCGCGCCTGGGCCTGGGGCCCAGGCCCGGGCACGGCCTCCAGCGGCGACTCGGCAGCCTCGGCATCGGAGGGCCTATATGCCCTACAAGAAAGAACCGCCGGGCGTATTCGGCTGCCTGCAGTCATGTCAGTGCTTTCAACAGTGTTTGCTCGGAAGGTGATCTAGCTTTGGGTGCCGTTCTCCTGGCCTTTCTTGGCACTTACGTGCCGCAGGCACCGCGGTCTGGCTTGCGGAGTCTCTTGAACGTGTCAAACTGGCAAACCCCACATAGTTTCAGGTCCTCCGACTGGGCCAAGGTTGCACGTGGCAGGTGCTGGACCGGGGTTCCACTTACGTACTGGAAACACGACTGTAGCAGGACGAAAGTTGGGCCCACGTTGAATTGGAGGTCCCCATCTGAAATAATTGCAGCTAGGCTGCTCCTGGGATCCTTCCTGAACTGTTTGTCTTACCATCAGTAGTAGTAGTAGTAGTAGTAGTAGTAGTAGTAGTAGTAGTAGTAGTAGTAGTAGTAGTAGTCGTAGTAGTCGTAGTAGTAGTGGTGGTAGTAGTAATAGTAGTAGCAGCAGTAGAGCAGCGCTTTTGGCACTCCGCTACCCCGCAATCCAAGAGGAGACGAGATGCTATTGTAAGAATGATCCAGTGGGTCGAAGCTTTTGATTTCGTGCTCTTGATTTAGCACTGCAATCAGTTTGCTTCTCTAACCCACCAGGTCGACGGATTTCGCTACTTCGCAAACCGGGGTCGGCAAGCCTTCTCCGACGCCACACACGCGCTGGCTGGGAAGTATCCAGGCGACAGCACCCTCATGAGGTAAAATTAGACATGCAGTGGGTCTGAATATCACAAGTCAGGGCAGAACCACTGCTGAGAGTTCCTGCGAGGATATCGCGACGATGCAGTTTTCACTTACTTTGATACGTTTGGCGGGGAGACGCTCCCGGACATGGGAAGCTACTCCCGCTTGGTGCAGCTTATTGATCGAGGCCGTAGCGCAAGGCAGCTGAGATGTGACTTCATTCAACGGCAGTTCGACAGGCGTGACTGACGTCTATGATCACAAGCGCGGTCTCGAGCTCCGCTTGCGTGAGTTCGGCTGCTCCGACGTTTTTGCTGCGACTTACTTCTCCTCTGCCGAAGCGTTGCAGGCGGTCCCGAATATGATATGGGCTCTGAAGGTGAGCACTCCGACATTTTCCAACACGCACACACCATAATTCGGCCTTCGTGCACGGCAGGCAACCAGCTCCGAACTTGATGCGTTGTTCTTCGCAAAGCTACCGGAACAAAGCGGCGGTCGTGGAATCCGGGTTCTGCGCCGTGAGGAGAACGCAGGCGAAATAAGTTGTCCTTTGATTTGGGCACCTTGACATGTTCCTTAAGTCCACATTCATCGGTATGGGGGCAGATTCGAAGCTGCACAGGACTTGCAGCGAGAAGAGCTGCCCACTGAGTACATCATTCAGCGTGCTGTGCAGGACAGCGCAATCGCAGTCAGCATCCTGAGAGCTAAGAGGATCCGACAGCTTATCATTGGTGGACTTTGCAGGATCTCGAGCTGATTGATCACCGGAAGTTTGTGATCCGATATTTCTTCGTGGCAACTCGGGCGTGAACTGGCTCTGCATGCTGCACCAACTAGAAATGTCTTGGTCGATGCGGAAGCAGGCTGCGTGAGCCGAGGTACACCAGAAGTGTATCTATCTTCACGAGGTAGGCATCGTGGTCGTGCACGGTGAGAAGTACGACCGTCGCAGCGTAGATATGGGTGTCCAGGCAAAACATGACTGGCCCCTCAGCATGCACATCGCCTGGCAAGCAGCTTTTGGCATTCGACCTTTCATTGCCTTTGCTGCGTCCCCGCGAGGTATGATGACAGCTCCGAGACGTATCTCATAACGTTGCAGTCCGCAGAGCAGGTCAGGTGCTGCACAGACAGCAAGGGAAGTGCAAAGGACGTCTTGCGTCTCTTTGTGTCTCGATCTTCGTACTAGTAGCATGGCACGTGCCAAGTCTTGGCTCTGTGTATCTATGTCTCGACCGGTGCCACATGGGTCGGGTCACTGTCAGGAGAGATTCCGGGAATTTATCGAAGCTGTTGCAGATGGTTCTTCAGAGTGTTTGTGGACTCGCTTTCCTGGGAGTATTCAGAGCACAGGCACCGCGCTGGCGCAAGGCGATTGCGGCAAAACTTCGCGAGGCAAGCCGACAGCAAGACAAGACATGTCACCCTTGGCCTTGGCCCTCCAACTCTTAAGATTCTGGTGATGTGAGCGTCTGACGATGTACGCGAGGGTAGCGCTTCTTTGTCGGTGCACGGAGGCCCTGCCTGCACTCGGCCCGCTGCTGGACTCCAGCGGTTCCGACCGCTATGCTCTGGTGGGTGGGGATGCGCTGATTCAAAGCTCCTTGAATGAACTCGCGAGGTTGATTGCCTTGGGATCTTCGTGAAAAAAGCGGTTGTTTCTTAACTCGAGTGTTAATCGAGGCATGCAGGTTGCATAAACACGCAAAGGGCTAGAGTGTTAGAGCACTGTCATGCCCACACAAGGCAACGGCGAGGCGAAGCTCATTGAGTTCAATATGCCCCTGAGCCGGATTTTCTGATGGACAACTTCGGTTGGAAGAGCTTCAACTCTCATGTCAAACACACAGGTACCCCAACCTCTTCGTTGACCAGGAGGTTGTCGATAAGCAGGTGTACACAATTCTCCTCAAGGACGTGATGGTCACGACCCCAGCACTTGCCACCCAGACTTTCGCATTCAAAGAAGGGATCGGCGGCGAAGCGAGAAGCCACAATCAAGCCTGTAAGGAGCTACTTCTGCTGGGAGAGCGAAGTGCCGGTTTTGTCTGGACAATCGATGGTGATAGACGTGATGGCACGGCAAAGACTGCCAAGACCATTCCAAAAGATGAGACTCCGGAGATTGGCAATCTGTTCCCACATGAAACTCGCTTCCATTTCGGTAATAAATATGGATATAGGTATGGACTTAGACTTACTTGGAGGATCATGGGACTTAGTAAGTTAGGTTATAAGTACCTTAATTGGGGTTATAAGTAATTGTAAGTATGGTTACCTTAATTATAACCTTAGTTACTAAGTCCCATGATCCTTCAAGTAGTCATGCATAATACTATACGCAATACTGTCTCACGGGTGGTAAACATACATGACAACCAGGCCTGAGGATGAGAACATTGGATAGAAGCAACCACAGATCTAGAAGCCAAGATAGATATAGAAATTCATGTACATGGGTTTACTTAGGAAACTTGCAAAGTATCATACCATATATATGTATGTGCGTGTAGGTGTAGTTAGTACATATTAGTTCGAAGAGTCTCTATCTTTAGTTGTGTTCCAGATATATATTTTCTTAATCGTCATTACTTCGGGTTGCTAGAGATTGGGAATTTGATTCTCCATCACCGTGGGGTTTGTATTTTAGTCGCGCTCTCCATCTTTATTTTATTCTTTCCGTCCTCCTTCCTTCCGTTTTTCGCGCCCTCGCCCGCTCTTCTAATACAACACATAGAATACACGTAGACTTAACAACGTGCATAACCCAAATTTCCTGCACAAGGAAAACTTGCGCGCCGAACTGCACCATACAGCCATTCTTGGTTGCAAAATCATTGTTGTCATACCGACCACGCGGATGCATGACGCCTCCAAAAATGGCCTGGAACTCAGCAATAGTAAACCGGCCTGTGTCAATAATGTTGCTGCCATATAATAGCTTTCGCATTTCATTTAA